TTATAATAATCCTAAAATTGTATAGATTATATTGTTAAAGTTTATAAGAAGTATTAACAAGACGTTTTTAATTTTGAACAAGAAATCTGAAATAAGTTTACAGATACATTAATTGAATGTACTTGCTTGATTTGTAAAATATAACATAATTCTTATAGATTATAAGTTATTGGCTTATCTTGATTCAATCAATGGCTTGTTTGCAATATATATCTATATATATATATATATATATATATATCTACATACTTCCATCTTTTTGAAATTGAAAATGAAACATGTAATTTTTATAGGTGTTTATTTTTTTACTATAAAAAAATTATTTTAATAATAAAGATTTTTTTTTACAAGATGAAGTGCATAATCTCACAAAATTAAAAATCAATATATCAAAAATTAAAAATATCAATAGTTGAAATATCTCCATCAAAAAGTATAAATCTTTTGTATTGCAAAGCTAGCTTAATGTTTATGAGCTGAAGATGTTGGTTAACTTATAAAATAGAATAGAATAATTTTTTCATAATTATAATCAAATTTAGGAGAAATACTTGCATAAATTCTTAAAAAGAATATTTATAACTAAAATAAAAATAATTTATTTTAAAATTTATTGAAAGAAAATCAATCATAGAATCTCTAAAGAAATTTTTAGAAAATTACCATGTAAAGACATCATAATAACTATTTAAATTTTTTAATTTTTTTCTAATAATCATAAATAATTGATATAAAAAATATTGATTTAGAAGAAAAAAATCACACATTTAAAAATCACTATAAAATTATAAAAACATAATTTTTAACATATAAATTAATAAATAATATAGTAATAAGAATAAGTTAATTATATATATTAATTAAAGATAATAATTTCTATTTGTATGTATCTATTTAAAGTACCACCTATCTATTTATCTATTTATTTGTTAAAAAAATAATTATTACTTTAACCAAGTAATAATTTTTGTAATAAATCACAATAAATCACAATGTAAATAATAAGAAAATTTAGTCATATGGTTTTTTGATGATATTTTACTCGTAATGACATCTCAAAATATCTCTTGATATTTTGAAATATTACTTGATATTTCAACAAATCACCCATCTCATTGAAATTTCAAAAGAAGAATGCATGAAATATCATAAATAAAATTTCTTGAGTTCTTTATTTATTTATTTATTTATTTATTTATTTATTTATTTTTTTGATTTCACACCATACTGCTAACTTTTAAAGCCTTTGTACTCTAAAAAACAAAAAATATTCAATCTCTTTGATCTCATACCACAATGCAACCTCGTTCTTTTTTTATACTCTAAAAAAAAATCCTAAACCTCTTTGATTGCATATTACACTACAACCTCACAATGCCTTCGTGTTCTAAAAAACAACAAACCCTCCAAGACTTAAAAATATTGTTCACTTTCTTAGTTGATGAAAAGTTAAATGAAATGTTTAAAGAATAGATCCAAGAGGTTAAAATCATATTTTAAAATATTATCCTTGATTTCAATAATACATAAGAACTTGCAGTATTTTATAATATAATCAACAATATTTATTATATGTTCATACAAAATATTATAACTAAAGTGATTGATTAGGTTATGAATTATTTTATATAAGAGTTCCATGTTTAGTTATTTCAAACCACAAGAATGTCAAGTATGAGCTTTCAAATTGAACTTTTAACAATCAAAGACTATCTCATTTTCAAAAATAAGAGTCATTACTCACAACTAAAATTATTTAGCAATTGGTTATAGTACTGAAACATCTTAGTGTTAAAGACATAAATTTCAAAGGACTAAAAGATCAATACAATCTTGTGTTACTTAAAATAACTTTAAAATCACTTAATGAAGATAAAATATTAAACTAAAATGGCTATTGTTAAAGACAAGAAGATTAAAAAGACTTAAAACAAGATTAAGAATAAAAAAGGCATTGACAAGAGTGAAGAAGAATTTACTCTTGCATCCATATATATTATCTAACTAGGAGCTACATAGTAACGTTCTATAAGACCTCTAATATGTGTCCAATTTGCAAGACATGTGTCTTAACTTATAAGATAAGTTTCTTATATGTGTACCACATAATTAGCTTATATCATAGCTTGTGAACTAAAATAAACCTCCACTAGTAGAAGTTTATTTTAATTCACAATAAGTGAATTAATTATTTAATTTTTCAAAATTTGGGCTCTTATTTAAATCTTACTTAAATCATCCTTCAATCTTATAAGAACACCCAAGTCATTAAGCAAAACCTCTACCATTAACTCACATACAATAGCAATTTATTTACAAAATGCAAGCTAAGGAAATTTCTTGCCTTAGATGATTGATAGGTTAACAAGTTGGGCACATATTGCACATATTGACTTCTTGTGATATAAGTTAATAATGTGGTGCATATATTAGAAACTTATTTTACAAATTAGTCATGTATCTTGCAAATTGGATAAGTGTTGGATGACCTATAGAATATTGTTAAGTAACTCCTAATTAAATAATGTATATGGAAGCAAGAATAAGAACTTCTTCACTCTTGTCAACTCTTCTCTTGCTTCTAGTCTACTTAAGAGTCTATAACATTTTTATCATTGGTAATAGTCATTCTATTTTTTTTTAATATACATACTTTTTGATTTCTTACAAATCATCATTTTTTAAGATATATCTTACATGTTTAATTACATTCTTGTATTTCTTGTCCTTGATAATAATATAAGCTTATCAGTTATTTTGCCTTTGCCTAATTTATCCTTCTATGAATAGAATAAAAGGATTCAAGGCTTTTATCTTTAGAAGAAGAAGTGGAAAGAAGAAAAATAAAAGATCATTTTACTTCAATTAAGAAAATATTTAATTTTTTTAATATTTAATAATTTAAAAAACCACTATATGATCAGTAGAAAATATCTTACTTATTTGGATATATATAAAATTTTTTAATAAAAAATTATAAACAATTATTTTTATAAAAAATTATTTAATCACATTTATGCCAAAAATATAAAATAATTTAAAAATACTTCTAGCATATTAAAATTTATAAAAGATCAAATATCATAGAATTTTAATTTTTTTTTTCAAATTTTATTTTTAAAATAGATGTGAAATGTGCATTTATTAAAAAAAAATATAATTTTTTAAATTATATTTTATTATTTAAATTGTAAGTAAATAAATATTTATTTATTTATTAAAATTTATAATTAATTTTAATTTTTTAAATTATTATTTTTTAGTTATATACATATATAGATACTCAATTCGTAAAAGAATAAATACTTTTATTTTGATATTTTATAGGTAGAAATCTATTTATAATCCCTATTAATAATTTTTTTTACTAGAGCACATTTGTCATAAAATCATAAATTTTTTTTATGTTAATATATTAAGATAATATATTTTAGACTCATAATTATATAATAAAAATAGTTATTTAACTTTAAATGCAAACTTCCTTCTTTTATGTTACTCTATTAATATTCACAATCTCCATTCACATTCATTTGTATCCTATATTATATCTAACATAAGACAAGAGGGACAAGTTATGCCATATATTACACAATATAAGACACAATTCCTAATGTCTTGGATTAAAAAGGTTTGTCCATTTGTAAGTATCAAGGCGACAACTTTGATAGTAATTATTAGGTTCAACATAGGACTAACTTTAATATGTCAAACACAACAAGTTGAGTAAGGAGGCCAAGACAAGTAGTAACTTGAGTAAGAATATGCAAGTGCAAAGAACAAGTTATTTAGAATGAAACCAACCAAACATATTTGATTATTGCATCATATATATATCAATCATATGTTGTACATTAATATTTAGTATACAAGTTTGTAGATAAAACAAATATATATTTAGAAAATTAAAAAATAAAATAAAAGGCACAAATATATATGTATGTGTGTATATATGTTGCAATATGTAATTATATAATTTTAAACAAAAGAAAATAAGAAAAAATAATAAAATATTTTCATTAATGTTTTTATAGATATAGGTTCTTTTCTTTAATAAATGGATGTTGACACAAATTCAAATTTTGATTCAAAAAAATATTATTTGATTAAATTGATTATTAAAAAATATATATATACAAAAATAAATATTTATTTTTTATTAACATCTTATGAGTATTTTATATATTTTTAACAAAAAAATAGAATATATTTAATATATATTTCATCTTTGTATTTATTTAGAACAATATCTTACAATATAAGTAACTTGAATAGATATTTAAAATAAAATTAAAATTTAATTTTGAATTCTACAAATTGTATACCATTACATTTTTGTTAATGAAAATCTAAAATTTTCAGTATGTGAACACACTTAAATATCAACATAGAACTTGTTTACAAACATCAACAATTGCAAGGATGTTTGCAATGTCTTTGTTAGGAGAACAACAAATGTTTTTGGCACAATCTTGTTATTATCAATCTTATTTCAAAATTTTCTATTGATCAACAATTAAATTAAAAATTAAAAAATAAAAAATTTAGACTTCACAAAACTTTGAGTTGTAAAGATTTTTGTTCCACTCTCAAATTTTAACCTTGCAAAACTAAATGTTGCCAATGACAATAGAAAAAAAAAAGAAAAAAAAAAAAAAAAAAAAAAAAGAAAGAAAAAAAAAAAAAAACTTGTTTAGAAGCTATCTAATTTAAATGATCCCAACTAAACTGAAATTGTCCCAAGAAATAATACTCAATGTAATTCAATAAACCTTAATAAAATTCTCCATTACATCCACAGAATAAATTAAATAGTATTAATATTTAGTGCAACATCAAAATAAAAGTAGAATAGAATCGAAACAATAAAAAACCACCAAAAAGAGAAAGAGACACAAACAAACAAACAGACAGACAGACAGAAACCTCAAAACAAACCATGAAGGTTAAGAAAACGATCTATAAAAGACAGCTTGGGTAATTGAATTGGAGACAGAATGTGAAGGGTACCGAGATAAGAATCTTCAATTAATATCACAAAATTCCAATATAGTACTGCTTGATTCCTCCCGAACCATATCCTTCTGTGCTGATGTTACCCATAGTGCAAGCATCAACACTAACAATCACGCATGTTATTACACAGAAAAAGGGAGGTTAGAGTATGCATAATTCAAGTGACTGGTACATGAAAATGTATTTACAGGTTTGCAAAAAATTGGTAGCGGTTGGTGTCGTGATGAATGAACTGGATGGCGCCGATGGCCCCCAGAATGGCCACAATGGAGTACACCACCACAATGGCCACATTGATGAGCTTCACAAGTGGGTTCTTCGGGTTTCGCACCTTGAGGAATGCAATGACAGGGATGATGAAGTCCAAAGGAGTGAATCCAATTGCTCCACAAAGTGCAACGAAGTCGCCGAAGAATGGAACTGCTGCTGCAATCACAGTGATAACGACAATGTAGGTTGCGGTTACTCCCACCCTTGCCAAAGCGTTCTGGAGGCTCCAGGGGTGTTTGTTGTAGTCCATCACTTGTTGCTCGACGTAAAGGTACGTTGGACGGCAGTATATCTGATCAAAATTGGAAGAACTCAACAGCTTAATCATTTCACATTAAGAATGGGCATGAATGAACACACGTGATTATGAGTTGAAGTTATGCAGGGACATCTCTAGTGGAGAGGTTGAGAGGGTTACTATGCAAAATCTATGCAGTTATAAATCGATAAAAACAAATGAATCTGGATGAAAAGATAGCTTTCGTTGGGAGGTAATGAAGTTCCAGGTTGTACCTGATAGCAACCGAGGACTTGGATTATAGCAAAAATGTTGGCTAACGTAATGAGCCAATCAGGTCCGAAAAATGAATTGACTAGATACGGATTCACCGTGTTTCCGAACACAGCGTAACCCATGAAGGCCACTGTCCAGTACGAAACCGCAATCACTGTGTATGCAAGCGTGGAACCCTTGTACATGTTCAACTTGGCTGGTTCTCGAAGTGTTGCCTGTACAAGCCAACCAGTATATACTGTTTCATTTCGCGACAGATGGTCTAGAGCATTGTGCCGTTTGAAGGAAACTCAAACGGAAATCAAATGAAGACTTTCGTTTGACGTAGTAGCTGGTGTGAGATTTTTTCATTACCTGAATTTCGGGCAGCATGGCGTCGCCAAACGAGAAGGCAATTGTGCCGAGGGCCGCGAAAATGCCGAAAGTTTTGTCAGATGGACTTCCAACTATGTCGTAGCTCGAACCGTCTGCGTCTCCATTTCTTACTGCACAACCCCAAAAAGTTGAATGAATGTAAACTCCTCGCATTGAAAATATATCAATTCAAGCAAATTGAGAACAAACTTGTCACTAGAACAAGCTTGCTCATCGAAAAATTGGAAGCAAGTACCAGAATTTGTAGCAGCTACGAGGAAGGGATTTGATTGGGGGACACAAATTTGGTCTGAAGAGATGGGTTGATGGAGGAGAATCGAAAGGACGACGTACGAGCATGGGCGCAGAGGGCCACCACCGACACAGAGAAGCCGATGGTGCAGCCAGTGCAGAGAGCATTAAGAAAGCGAAGAGAGTGGATGTCCGGAAACTGCGACAGGAAGAGCTCCACCACCCCAAAAAGAATGATGAAGTGCTGCAGCGTCATGCCGCTCGGGTTGCTCGAGTAAGTGGTATAGATCGACTTCATGCTCAGCCCAGCCACAATCTGAATGGTAATATTGTTGCCTATGGACGCAATTTGCTGAAAAGCCAATACGGACCAGTACCCCTTCGCTCCTGCACACAGAGACCACGTCGCCAACCGAAGATCCCAAGAGTTAGAAAAAGTATGGATGGACCCGACGCTATCAAGCAACGAAAGCGAAGTAGTTGCATTCTCGTACAAAGGTAGCCGCAAGAATGGAAATGAAATCGTATACCGTAGATGGAGCGCCCAAGGTCTCGGTAGCGAACATATCGATTAGGCTCATCCCAGTCCCACAAGCTCGCCAGCAGGAGAGTACAGTAGTAAGTGACGGCCGTCCCCACCAGTAATGTCACCACACCTGACCCACAGCAGTGTTTGCTTCATTAGTCGCAGAAGTGCAACAATTCAATAAGCTCCATGAATGCAATAATGTTGGAAAGCTCTTCCAAAACAACGCCACACTCAGAGATAAGTCTACTCTGAGCTTGACTGAGGATGTGAGAATCGAGTCAGACCTCCTATCCAACCCAACTGCGACATGGCGTAGGGCAAGGGAGCGAAGGCTGCAGGAGTGGCGATGGTGGTGGCCAGATGGAAAGCTGAAATCGGCCATGTCCCTCTACCCTCCGGATGCTTCACAAGAGACCCAGGTAAGGATCCGGGGCCGTCGACATCGCCCTTGAACTTCTTCTCACCCTCGATACTTGAAACTTTGTCCATATTGCTGCCCCGTTGCATCTAAGCATCATGCAAACAGCCGGTGAACCAAACTGTTAGTCACAAGAAGAGCTAGAACATACATACAGCTGACGTTTTTGAGCGTTCTCTTGCGTAAACGTAGATCCGCAAGTATCAGTAATAAAGATATCTGTAGAATTGAACATGCCGAGAACTGGAGTCACCATTACACCATTTGGCACTGTTCGACAAACCGGCCGACCCATATTAGCACCACACAAACAGTTCACCATACCTTTCGTAACAAACTGAAGCGCACTCCTCAAGCTGCAGGTTCGCCAAAGCTCGCCAAGGAAAATTGACAAAAGAACAGTCGACTGAGGGCTTCAGCAAGACCAGGGAGAGGTCTGGGGATCGGGAGGCAAGCAGGGGGGAAGTTTGTATTTCTGCTGGACTCGTAAGAGAGCCACGCCCATGGCCACCTCACCACGACTCCTCTCAGTGGAACACACGCACAAACCAACCATTACCATCAACAACAGAAATGACTGAACCGAGGCACCGAACACCCACAAGAAATAAACAGGTTCAAGCGAATGCGACCCGCACGAGGAACGCCGATGGAATCCAGACGACGGCACCACAACTCCCAGACTCTACGGGCCAAAGCGGTCCCGAGGAGTTCTCATAAAATGGTCACAACAGCCCCGGAGATTCCAGTCTGCGAATAGTCAAATATTCCAGTTTTTCCAGCTAAATTCCTGGAGATATTCCCACCTCGACGGAGCTATATAAAACCCCACCCTGGCGAATCAGACAGCTGGGTCAGTTCCGCTTTTGTCAACTTTGTCGATTGAGAGTGATAAGTAGCCATACGAGTCACCGCTTACTCAACCCACTCTCCTCGACGACGGCATCTGCCAGATTCTCGACCTCCTCGCCCGCGGCCCTCACATCCCTCACTACCGAAACACCACGATGACTTGTTGTGGTCAGTGAACGTATCACAGTTACTTCGACGATTACATTGTCAAGCAGAAATAAGAAGCTAGCAGGCGCGACGCCGGCGAACTGTCACCTTGCAGATCCCAAATCGACGACTCACGACTTGCGTTTGCGTATCGCCGGTGTGGGTTCTTACCCGTTCTCAGACTTGCCCAGCATATTGCATTGTCGAATCTGGCAGATTTCCTTCGGTAAAGACCCTCGCTCATGGCCCCGGTACCCATCGAACGCTGCATCGTCGATGCCTCGGAGACTTCGAGGAGTGATTGCGCCATCGTCATCCTCTACAGTAAAAGGCTCCCGTCTTTCTGGGCCTGCTTCTTTTTCTCTTTTCCGAGTGTTATTGGGTTCCTTCTTTTTCTTCGGTTGGGAATAAATTATGTTGAATTTTTTTAAAATATTTTACTGGAATCATGCTTTCTCAGGATATTTGTGGATGTTCATGCTGCCGGTGCGGGACAAGTTGATGTTGGGCTGATTATGTTTTTTTTAATACTTAATTTATATATATATATATATATATATATATATATTCATATGATGGTGTTGTAATAGTTGTGCGCAAATTCTTTTGTTGAGAATGCAGGAACGGGTTGAATGTGTGGCGCAGCAAGTAAATGTATGCTGGACAGAAGATGCGGAGCATTTACAACCTTCTTTTTATATATATATATATATATATATACATATGTATATAGAAAAAGCGGTGTTAAATTAAAGAGAAAGAGTGCAGGTAGGACCTGGTCCCTCATGGAGTTATCAGGGCTTCTAACCTAGGTGAGAGGTCTAACCTAGGAAGATAATAAATCGCCTACACAAAATACTTGGTTGTGGCACCATATATATGATGGTGTTGTAATTGCCAAGGTGGCCTTTTTAACCGGACTACAGGAGATGGTGAGGCTCAGGAGGTCATTGCATCAGGCCACGCTTGAGAAAATGGTGTCAGGCCATATGGATAACCAAAAGACTATCTATTGCATTGCCTATTGTTGAGAATATTTTAGAGAAAGAGAGACAGTAGTAGCTAGAAATAATAAGCACACATATGTAAACATACTTAAAAGTGAGGTTATTGATAGGGTTATATCCTTTATACAAAGAGAAGGGGAGAAGATAAACAGTATTTCTCCACTACATTCCAAATACTATAGCTACAGTAAATATTGTAGACTATAGTAAATAGCATGGAGAGCACTGACTACATTTAATACTCTCAACACTCCTCTTCACTCCTCATAATATTTATATGTATAGAATTATGATCTATACTTTTTTATAATCTCATAAGATCAACAATTTCTGCCTCATTAAAATCTTATCTAAGAAAATTTTATTATATTTAAGGACAAAACCATAGATGAAGGAAAAAGAATATAATATTATCTCAAGAATTCATTAACTTTCTTACTCTAGAAAAGCAAGTCTTTGCATGCCAATGCCATAAGTAATTAAGCGATAATTGCACAAAGAGAGAGATTTGGTGACAAGATGAACAAGGTTATTTGTAGATTCAATTTTCTTGATCATATGTCACACACATATGCATGTAAGCCAGTAATTACATGTATAAATAGGTAGAAGTAAGTAAAAGTAGGTAAAAATAAGTTAATTCTATAATATTTGGTATAAAAGCTTCCTAGAAGCTTCATAGATGCTGCTTTGACTTTATAGGTGTCTTTAAATGACTCTTTGGATTAGAAACATCGTCAACAAGTTGGCCATGTGCCACACATGTTATTAGCTTGAAGACCAAGCTAACTATATGGCCCACACATAAAAAATTTGCCTTGTAAGTCAAGACATGTGTCCTACAAAGTCAACACATATTGGAGGTCCTATAAAACGTCGCCATGTAGCCCCTAATAAGATAGTATATATAGAGACAAGAGTGAAGCCTTCTTCACTCTTATCAATTCCTTTCTTGCTTCCAATCTAGTTTCAAGGGTCTCTAGTTTTCTTGGCTTTTGGCAATAGCCATTCTAGTTTCTTTTTTAATATACATATTAAGTTATTTCTATTTTGTCATCTTTCTTTGAAAGAAGTCTCACTTGTTTATTTGTCTTTATCATGTTCTTGCCCTTGACAGATTGACAAGAGTACACTTACAATATCAAAGCTTTGTCTAATCTTGATTAAGAGTGGATTATCTCTTTTTTCTTGATAAGACATAAGCATATTACAAGTTACAGATTACCTTCTTCTAAACTGATATTGTCCTTAGTATTCTTTTATTTTCAAGTCATCTCTTCTATTTGTCTTAAGTGATATTAGACATCTTTTCTTTTTTAAGTATTATGATGGCAAAACTTCCTGAAATGAGGAGTGCAATGGTACAAATGCAAGAGCAATTGAGGGAGTTAATGCTTGCAATGCATCAATTCAATTTACCACCACAAGGAGCAACAAGATTTGCAGGAAGTGAAGATATAGAAATGATTGGAGCTGCTTCAATATCAGTACCAAATCATGTGTCTCTTCCTATGGTGGAATGCCCTTCCAATGTTAGAGAATCAAGAATTCCCTACCCGAGAAGTTTGATGGCACTAGATCAAAGTTTAGAGGATTTATCAATCAAGTAAAACTTCTGATTAAACTTCAACCCCAAAGCTATCCAACTCCAAGATCGCAAGTTAGATTCATTGGTACGCTTCTTTTAGATTCAGCATTATCATAATTTTTATCTTTTTTTGAACGATGAGATCTAATATTAGATAATCTAGAAGATTTTTTGGCGAAGTTTCAATCCATGTATGAAGAACATGATGCAATTTGTATTGCAACCAATAAGATCTATATTTTACGATAAGGCAATCGATCAGTAACGTTGTATGCTTCACAATTTTGACAACTTGCAACTGATATCAAGTAGAATGATGCTGCACTTATTAGCCAATTTTTCTATTGATTACAATATGAGGTAAAAAAATTAATGCTCAACTTACTTGATCCTGAAACATTGAGTCAAACAATTGACTTTGTTGTGAAATGCGACAATTGCCTTTTTGAATTTCGATCTGAGAATCATACAAGTGGACCTCAACGTTACTATAATTCAATAGCAATACCAACATCTCTTCAACAAATACATTCAAAAGTAGAGGATATGCAAATTGATGCAGTATATTTCAAACTTCTTACTGAGCAAGAAAAGACTTGTCGTTGTCAGGAAGAATTGTGCTTATATTGTCGAGAATCTAAGCACACTGCTCAACATTACCCAAAGAAGTGACGCAACCATAAAATGAGGAGTACATCAGTCATAAGAGATAGTATGTCAGAAAACAAATTTGTCCAGCTACAATAGGGACTATGCGGCTGGAATCTTGTACAACGCCTAGTGAAGGTGTTATCCTCTCCTCAGAAGCCTCTCCATGTTTTACGATAAATGTTATTCTAAGACCTAAACATCTTAAAGCTTCTGTCTTGCTAGATTCAAGAGCCTCAACATGTTTCTTAGATGAAAAATTTGCTAAAAGATATAGCATATTTTTAGTAAAGAAAACTAAACCTATTCATATAGAAGTCATAGATGGTCGTCCGTTGTCTTCAAGAGATATCACCCATGAAATCCTTCCTATAGGAATAACAACTAATGGTTATAGTAGCTTTGTAATATTTAATATCATTAGATCTCCTTCTAATCTCGTTATTTTAGGTTTATTATGGTTAAAAAAATATAATCCTAAAATAGATTGGACTTCTTGTAGTCTTCAATTTTCTGAAAGTATAATTAAGAGTATAATTAATTAAGTAGAAAGTCATAAGTCTAGTATAATTAAACCTATATTTGTAGGTGCAAGTGCTTTCATGCATGTTGCAAAAGAAGGATCATCTTTTTTCATTCATGCCACACCTATTTCTACTAGTGAAAAGACTTCAAGTGGCATTCCAAGCCAATATCAAGATTTTTAAGATGTATTTGAGAAAAAGAATGTGGATACTCTTCCAGAACATCGTATCTATAACTGCTCAATTGACCTTCAAGAAAGAGCACAACTGCCATTTGGACCAACATACAATTTATCTCAAAATGAGCTGGCTGAATTCAAGGAGTATATTGTAGAGAATTTGGCTAAGAACTTCATACGCCATTCCAAATCTCCAACAGGAGCTCTAATTTTATTTGTGAAGAAAAAAGATGGATCTTTGTAGATGTGAGTTGATTATCGAGGACTCAACAAAATTACTATAAAAAATAGATACTTGCTATCGTATTATGTACTATCTTGCTGGAAAACACACCAGACGTCTGAATGTGGAAGATAAAATAATGTTTTATAAGTATCCAAGTAGGCTAGTGGATTTCAACCATCTAAATACAAACTATTTTGGATTTCAATGTAAAAGCTTAATCCCAATACAAAGTACTTCGAAACACTATTTTTAATAACTTCAAGATATTCTAAGCACAAAGTCTTTTGTTATTTATTAGTTTTTATTTTTTATTTATTTTTTATTTTTTGTATATTATTTTATTTTATTCATAATTCTAATTCTAGACAACGAGCTTCAGCAAGCTGTAATTTTCAATCTGACTGTCCAATTGTTGTAAATTTCTACCACTAGTGTCTTTGCAAGCCTTCTAAATACTCAAGAAGTTTCAATCCAATCAAACTTACAAGTTGTTAGAAAATGTCGTTAATCGACATTGATATATCTTGACCGCTGCCTAGAAGTCTTCGACTTATTACGCCAAAAGTCACCTTATTCTAGCCAGTAGATCTCTAGATATTATAAAAATCCTAAACAATCCCAATCTGTTAACTTTCGATACCTCTTTACACTAATGGTCAAATATTGTCTATCTGTTCCGTCAGATTAACACAAACTTTTGCATGTACTCGACATATTCAATCCTCTAGATACCTCTAAATTTTAACTGCAGAAGTTTCTCCAATTTCACAAAATAGTCAAGAATACCAGCTATTACTTTATTACAAAAAATCCAATTCATCAATACAAATACTAACTTTCAGCAACGATTGCCAAAGTTCTCTCAAATCCTATGAAATTCA